TAACATTGGTAGAAACATGATTTTCGAAATACCCCTGGAGAAATCCAAACTCAAAGTAGAAACATGATTTTCTCCTCAAATACTTACTTTACATGGAAAAAACCTTACCCGCCGCGATCTTCCTCGCCTCCTGGATCTCCTGCAGGGCGCCTTGGGTTTCCCCCCGAGCATCGCGTGCGGCCTGATGAGCCTTGGTGAGTTCGAATTCTTTCTCCGTTAAACTCTGCTCCAAGGCCTCGCATTTCTTCATGGCCCCTTGAAGCTCTTGCTCAGCTTCAATAACACTGGCCTCGTGTTTCTCACGAAGGGCCTGCTCTGCGGCTGCCCTTTTCTCGGCCTCGGCCACAACCTTCTTAAGAGCCTCGACTTCGGTCATCGCCCCTAGAGCAAATCATGAAACATATTTTTATCATACTAAAAATTCGTCCGCGCTAAACGCGAGCAAGGTTTGTGCATACCTTGTTTATCCTCCAATTGCCTTTTTAACTGGCCAAGTTCTTCTTTGGCCCGCTCCAGACTTTGATTTAGTTTGGAGACCTCCGCAGTATGAGAGGCGGCAGTCGCTACAGACGCCTGCTTATAAAAAAAGAGATAGATGTCATCAAGTGAGTCTCCTGCAAACATAAATTTGATCCTCTGTCCGGTTCTTTCTTTCACCGAACAGTGTATCAGGGGCTACTATCTATACCGTGACACTCTTCGAAACCTCATAAAACATACCTCAAAGCCTCTTATAAGGCTGATACAGGCTTCATTCAGTCCACTCTTAGCAGACTGAATCTTCTCAATCACCGCACCCATAAGGGCGCGGTGTTCATCGATGATGGAGGCGCTTTTCAACGCCACCGATAAAGTATCCGGCACCTATGGTTGGACAGAGGATGCCAGTGGAACAGGAACACCCCCTCAAGCCAAGGGAGGCCGCCTACCTAATTCTGGAGTCGTATTGGTCTCCAGAATTGCGTCCGGCTAGGGGCCGAATTCAAGATCTCCCCCGTCGACGACGTCCATGGCTCTCCCATGTGTCCGGCCCCTGAAGTTCGACCTCCCGGTGCCGCCTTTACGACCTTTCCCCCCCTCCTTGGTCTGGGTCCTCCTGGGACGAAACCTCGGTGTCATTTACATGTTTGGGGGAAGGGGCCTTCGGGGGTGTCCCGCTCTCCATAGCATCTGAACCCAGCAAATCCTCCGACGAGGATTGTTCGGTGCGGGACCTCGCCGGACTGCAAAAAAGTATGGCTAAGATTAAAATATTATGCCATGACGAGCCTGGACGCATAAGCGTGTTTGGACTTTATATACTCACGAGTTCACCACAGGCTGGGCCCTGGGATCCCACTTTGGGCTGCTATCGGCGGCGGTGGACTCCTCTGGAAGAGGAGTTTTTTTCCCTCTTAGGCGACTCAGCCTCCAAGGATGTGGAGGCTGTCCTTTCCTTTCTTCCCCCCGCCGGGGATTCATCTTCCTCCTCCTCGTCGTCCTCTTCGGAGGAAGAACGGGCGTTGGAGTCTTCGGATTTTGTGTCTGAGGCGCCGCGACGACGGAAGCCGCCCCTGATCTTCTTGGCCTCCTTCTCGGCCTTCTTCTTCGGCGCCTTGTAAGGCGCCGGGACTAGCATCTTCGTCAGAAGTGGGCCGGCCGGTTCTTCTGGCAGTGGGGCCGGACAGTAGATCCGCCCCACCTTCTTCGTCCAGCCCTATGAGAGTTGTGGAAAACACATAAAGCATTTTCCTCAGGATATGCGAATAAAACATGCGAATTGCCAACATAACAGTGACTTACCGAACTTGCAGGGTGGGACAGTTGGTACCCGCGGTCCTCGGCGGAGTCCGGCCACGATTTGCCGGACTTGAAAAGCACCTTCCAGATGTCCTTATGCGAGGAGCCAAAGAGCTCCCGTAGGGTCTGGTGCTTGGCCGGGTCGAATTCCCATAAATTGCAAGCCCGATGTTGACAAGGAAGAATCCGGCGAACTAACATCACCTGGACTACATTGACAAGTTTGATATTCTTGTCTTCCATATCCCGTAATAATACATGATGCCACGAACGAATGGGTGGAGGGGAAACCCTAGCCCGCGGACAAAATGAGGGAGGAATACAACCCTCTCATGGGGTTTCGGAGTAGGGACGATCTGTCCCGCCGTTGGAAGACGGTGGCTGATTTTCTTGGCCATATACCCGGCCTCCCGAAGCTTTTTGATATCCTTCTCCCGGACGCTAGAGGCCATCCACTTGCCTCCTGCCTCGGATCCGTACATTTTCAGAAGACCTTTTTGGGCAGAGAAGACAAACGCTTGGGTGCTAGGGCTCGAGCGAGGGGGAATGGATTTGCAGAGGAAGAAGAAGGCGTGGGTGAAAAGGGGAGTCCTTATCCCCTTATAAAGGCAGCAGGGATCCTGTGCCTCCCCACTTGCCCGGTAAACTCGCTATTCCCCACGCACCGCGTTGATGGCGCAGTTGGATTACCCACACCCGTATTGATGAGAATCCCGTGATAAGGGGACACAATCTCTGCTTCGACAAGACCTGCCAATAAAACCGCCTCGCGATATGTGCGGTGGCAGGTTGAGAAAAATGGTTCGCATAATGACTGGGTCGTGTCGTGATGTCACGCTGTGAAAAGTTGTCAGCAGATTAGATTTGTGAAATATTGTACCCTCTACGGTGGTATGCAGAACCGGACACAATCCTCATATTCAAGATCTCCTGTGGAGTATTCGGAGAAGGAACCCACCTTGCAATGCTGAAGACAATCTGCGCGCCGGACTCATCGTCATTGAAGTCTGGTTCAGGGGCTACTGAGGGAGTCCTGGATTAGGGGGTCCTTGGACAGCCGGACTATATACTTTAGCCGGACTGTTGGACTATGAAGATACAAGATTGAAGACTTCGTCCCGTGTCCGGATGGGACTCTCCTTGGCGTGGAAGGCAAGCTTGGCAATTCAGATACGTAGATCTCCTTCTCTGTAACCGACTCTATGTAACCCTAGCCCCCTCCGATGTCTATATAAACCGGAGGGTTTAGTCCGTAGGACAACAACAATCATAATCATAGGCTAGCTTCTAGGGTTTAGCCTCTACGATCTCGTGGTAGATCAACTCTTGTAATACTCATATCATCAAGATCAATCAAGCAGGAAGTAGGGTATTACCTCCATCGAGAGGGCCCGAACCTGGGTAAACATTGTGTCCCCCGCCTCCTGTTACCATTAGCCTTAGACGCATAGTTCGGGACCCCCTACCCGAGATCCGCCGGTTTTGACACCGACAATGGTCGCCAGAAGTGGGCCAGGGGTCCACTACCCACCAGGGCGCGCCTGGGGGGTGGGCACGCCCTGGTGTCTTGTGGGCACCTAGGTAGCCTCCTCACGTAACTCTTTTCTCCAGTATTTTTTATATATTCCAAAATAATTCTCCGTAAAATTTCAGCCTATTTGGAGATGTGCAGAATAGGTATCTCTGATGTAGCTTTTTCAGGTCCAGAATTCCAGCTGACGGTATTCTCCCTCTTTGTATAAACCTTGCAAATTATAAGAGAAAGAGCATTAGAATTACTCCCCAAAGTGTTATATTGGATAAAAACGCTAAAAATAACAGTAAGAGAACATGATGCAAAATGGATGTATCATGTCTCGCTACTCAATTTTGCCACTAGGAATTTCAACTGCTAAAAAATGACATCACTTCGTTAGACGCATGCTTAGAAATGCCACTGGACAACATTATTGTCAACTCAAATCTCGTTTGCCATGTTATAATGACAAAAATACCTATAAACCAACATGTCAGCTCTCCCTCTATCTCACTACAATAAAGTGTGGGTGCCACTTGATCCCAATAGCGTTATTATTTTCCTCTAAAATCATTCGCTTGCTTACTCCTAACAAGTAAGGTCCACACTTATCATTGTGAGATAGAGAGAGCTGACATGTGGTTATAGGCGTATTTTCATCATATAACACGGTTAACGATTTTGTCTTGACAATAACAATGTCTAATGACATTTTTGAGCAAACATCTAATGGAACAATGGTATTTTTTGAGATTTCCATTGGCATTTTTTAGCAAGCCATCTCACCAAACGATGACATTTTTGAGCAGTTGTAACTTCTAATGAAAAAATTTGAGTAATGGAACGCAACTAATGGCATAAATGATAAAAACTCTTTTAAAAATTACCTAACGCGCTGGTATTAATGTCCCTTCAATTTTTGCGAACCAACCTGTGGTTGGATGGTTAGAGGGACTGTGGTATCCCCAGCTCACCAGGGTTCAAATCCTGGTGCTCGCATTTATTTCTGAATTTATTTTAGGATTTCCGGCGATGCGCATTCAGTGGGAGGAGACGTTCCCGTCGACGACGAGGTGCCTACGGTGACTTCGTAATTTTCAAAATGATATGCCGGCTCAGTCTCTCGGATGTACTCATAGGGGTAGGGTGTGCGTGTGTGCGTTCATAGGGATGAGTGTATGCGCGTGTATATGAGTGCTTGCGTCTGCATTGTGTTCAAAAAAAATAATGTCCCTGGCTTGTTTGTTCCTGGCATGACACGTACATGTGCTCCTGACGTACGACACAAAATAGGTCTGTGACTGGATTTTGTTACAAGGCAGCGGCAGAAATGGGTCTGGCACTTTGGCTATCCAAAATGGTACTGCTACATTTGAGTTTTTTTTTTTTTTTGACGAGCCGACGAGTCCAAGAATTATACCGGGGAAAGGGAGAGGGGGGAGGGGGAGATAAAATGATAAACCAACAAGACGGAGAAGATTCCACCAACAAGAAGACAGCTGGCGGCTACGCGATCGACTCCGCCCGCCGCCACATTAAACACCAGGAGGGGCGCCACACACACCCATGCACACACCATCGCAGCCGCAGTCGCAGTCGCATTCGCATCGCCGCTCTCCCTCCTCCCACGGCAGCGCGAGGCGCGAAAGAGTAGGGCGCTAGGCGGGAAGGTGGCGGCGGCCTCGGACCGATCTCTGGGCACCAGATGGCGCCGGCGCGAGGAGCGGGAGGCGGCGGCAACGCCGCCGCCGCCGCCCCGAAGAGGGTGCCGATGTACCGGCTGTTCGCGTTCGCGGACCGGCGGGACGCGGCGCTGATGGCGGTCGGCGCCGCGGCGGCCATGGCCAACGGCGTCGCGATGCCCTTCCTCGCCTTCCTCGTCGGCGACCTCGTCGACGCCTTCGGCCCCGCCCACCGCGCCGACCTCGTCCACGCCGTCTCCAAGGTTCGCGCCGCCCCCGCCCCCGTCGAGGGTTCCCTCTCCTCTCTCCCACGCGCTCCTGGACGGTCGATGATTCAATGCCGCGTCGTCTACTTCCTCGCCCGCCTGTTTCGCCTTGCTCCCGCGTCGCTCGCTCGCTAGTTCTTCGCACTTCCGGTTTCTGCTGCGAGAGTTTTCGAGGGTTTTGGCATAGGCAGCGTCGGACTCAAGTAAATCGAACCCTTCAGATCGAACGTTTAGTCTTTCGGCGATTGATTTAGTTATTATCTGAGAAGAGTGTCGAACACATATTTATCATTAATTTGTTTCGATTGTTTCCCAGCGTGGAGCATAATTAATTAGTTTCTTTTGATATTTTTGGTATGGAGTTAATCTGCGTCACTATTTTTGGTATGGAGCTTACTTGATTTGTGATCAATTTATTTGAGGTTCCCGTGCTGTACGTAGTAATTTAGAGTTCCAGAGGACCATAATTTTCACGATTTGTTATGGATTTCGAAAGTTCTACTATTTGATATATGGATCTTAATTTGCTCTGCTAACGAATTTTGTAAGGATGAATGTGTGATCACAACTTCATACCTAAGAGAGAACGAATTCCTCACCAAAGCCAGCAGAATTGTTAGGGCCGGTCCTTTTCATGGTCAAAATGGTTCCATGCACAAATGTCCAAACCACTATGGGAAATGTTTCAGTAGAATATATATATATAGGTCCGCTTGTATCTCAAAGTGTTTTTTGTGAGGGCTTGTATCTCAATGTTAGATGGCTGTATTCTCTTCTCCCCCAGGAATGTTATGCAGTACTAATTGCTATTTGACGTGTACATGTATATTAGTTCTGTTTCTATGTTTCATGCCTGATGCTCTTTACTGTCAAGTTGAACATGTAGTACAGTAGTACTTCTTACTGAAAATGAAATTTCATCAGCTGGCATTTGTAATCTGAGTTGCTGGTTTTACGTTGGGACTACTTTTCACCATTTTATGTTGTATGCGTTTTTGTCTTTCCAGGTTGCTGTCAGATTTGTGTATCTAGCATCAGCTTCTGGAGTAGCAGGGTTTCTTCGTAAGTATCATTTCTATTATAGAAGCAGTTTGGAAGTGCATAATCCCATATTGTCTTCTGGTGTAAATTTCTCACATGTTATCCATATTTGCTTCGCTTACATAGTTCCTTATACAAAATGTGTACTCCACCTGTTCAGGACTCTGCATATGTAGAAACTCCCGATTCAAGATGCATATGCTGAATATGTTGTTCTTCTTGAAAAGTATGAATGATTTCTATTGGTTCGAAAATTGGCAATCCTAATTTGGATGAAATGAAGACCAGAAATTGTTTGCCGCAATGCTGGAAAGGAAGTAAATTATATGCACGTATCACTACCCATTTGTTGATGAGATCTATTAACTACACTCATAATATGCTATGCCAGACCCACCAGTTAATTCTACTGTACTCATTTATGCCCCTTAAGGAAATAAATTTGTCTCTGGCTTAGTATATGTGATGCATCCTACCCATTCATATTTTGAGGTTATTTATTTGGCATGCATTTTTTACTGATGTAAAAGTTCTAAGAACTTTATGGAATTTGTCACGACCAGCTTAATGGTTTTTGCATATCATTGCACTGGAGTGCTGGAAGAGTATTGCGCACCAGAAGCTAACTATTTATATTACCAGTTTTTCACACCAACCGAAGAAAACATAAAATCACTAAAATTTCCATTTTTAGAGTAAAAGAAAAGACATAATCCAACCAGCTGATGAACTCTAATTATATTAGCAATAATTTAATTGTAAGCTTTGATGTATTCTTTTGGTACAACATTGCTTGTTCAATATGTGGATTTATTAATTTGTTTGGGGATTTATTTTTAAGCATATTAATAGTGAAAAAATAACACTGGTTTTGGTATTATTTTTCATAAAGATGTCAGAAACTGCAATGGGATACATATGATTATCGTACTATCTCTTTGAACTCTGCTTCTGCATGCAGAGGTGTCATGCTGGATGGTGACTGGAGAAAGACAGGCTGCACGCATCCGTGGGCTGTACCTCGAGACCATACTTAGACAAGATATATCATTTTTCGATGTGGAGACGTCAACTGGAGAAGTTATTGAAAGGATGTCTAGTGACACAGTGTTAATTCAAGATGCAATTGGAGAAAAGGTGAGCCATATCTTAACCATGTGACTCCCTCTTAAATTTTAAATTTATGAATTTTCCTATTTCTCAGGTACTTTAATGCATACCTTCACTTTACTGTTTCTATTACAAATTATCACACAACCAGGTCAAGTTCAAATATATGTCTCCTTTGCATGGATTTATAAAGATCATAAGCGTTATTTTAAGTGAATCATGATTTTGATGTATGCTAGTTTTTTATAAAAAGCTTTGCAGTTTCAACTATGCAACAAATTTGAGGCTACTTCCAGTATACATATTTACTGATTACAGCATGCTAGGCCCCTCCCGATGTGGCTTTGTCGGTGGGCTAGTGTTTCCTTTTGCCGTTCGTTTTTGGCTAGCTAAGGTTGTTTCTGTAGTTATTTTGTCCCTTTTCTTATCAGTGTTTTAGTCGCCTGCTCGCCGTTGTAACGCCCGTGTCATCTTGATGCTTTCCTCGAATACAAAACTACTTGCACTTGGGTGCATGTTTAAGATTCTTTTTACTAATTACAGTAGCAAGAGTGTGTGTAATGCATAGAATACCATCTCTAAAAACTTGTGTTTAAGTGTTCAACACACTTTAATTTGACTATTTATGAAGGTGGGCAAGTTTCTCCAACTGGTATCAACATTTCTGGGTGGATTTATCATCGCATTTACAAGAGGCTGGCTTCTGTCCCTTGTTATGTTGTCAAGTATTCCTCCTGTTGTAGCAGCTGCTGCAGTCATGTCACTTGTTCTATCAAAGTTATCAAACCGTTCCCAGATGGCCTATGCTGAAGCAGGGAAAGTGGTTGAACAAACAATAGGATCAATCAGAACGGTATATCTACCTTCTATAAACTTAACCCTTATAATTCTTGTGCCTAGCTAACTTCTCATTTCCTTCATGAAAACAGGTGATATCTTTCACTGGAGAGAGCAGAGCAATTAGTGAATACAAAGAGCATTTGAAAATATCATACAAGTCAGCAGTCCACCAGGGTATTGCCGGGGGGCTTGGAGTTGGTTCACTTCTGCTTATTGTTTTCTGCAGCTATGGATTAGCTGTATGGTATGGTGCAAAGCTGATTATTGAAAAGGGATATACTGGTGGCTATATCATTAATGTGTTGATGGCCATCATGACTGGTGCAATGTTAGTATTTTCATTTGCATGGCAGTATCTATTTTCAAGATACAAAGCTCCAAATTCAAATTAAATTGCCATCATTTGCATGACGTTTGTTTCTTCTAATTGTTTGTAGGGCTCTTGGCCAGTCTTCTCCATGCTTAACTGCTTTTGCATCAGGACAGATTGCGGCTCACAAAATGTTTGCAACCATTTATAGAAAACCTGAGATTGACGCGAGTGATAAGAGTGGCCTTATATTGGAGAACTTTGTTGGAAATGTTGAGTTGAAAGATGTCCATTTCAGTTACCCTGCACGACCTGAGCAACTTATCTTCAATGGCTTCTCTATAAGCATTCCAACTGGCATGACGGTGGCACTGGTTGGGGAGAGTGGAAGCGGGAAATCTACTGTAATTGGCTTGGTAGAGAGATTCTATGATCCACAATCAGGTGAAATTCTTTTGGATGGTGTTAATCTGAAACAGCTAAACCTTAGCTGGGTAAGACAGAAAATAGGGCTTGTTAGCCAAGAACCTATTCTTTTCACAACTACTATAAGAGAAAACATAGAATATGGAAAGAAGGGTGCGACAGAGGAAGAAATTAGGAGGTCAACTGTGCTTGCTAATGCTGCGAAGTTCATCGACAAGTTACCAAATGTATGCCCATTTAATCCCTTCTCATGCATTCTGCAATCTTGTATTTTTGCAGTATTATTTTCACCCCTAATTATAAGTTGACAACTATTACCAGGGACTGGATACAATGGTTGGTGAGCATGGAACACAACTATCTGGTGGACAGAAACAAAGGATTGCAATCGCAAGAGCAATTTTGAAGAACCCCAGCATACTACTTCTTGATGAAGCTACAAGCGCACTTGATGCCGAGTCTGAGCATGTAGTTCAAGATGCACTAAATAATATCATGGTTAACAGAACCACAATAGTTGTAGCACATCGCCTGAGCACTATAAAAAATGCTGATACAATATCAGTGCTACATCGGTGACAGCTTGTGGAGCAAGGTAAGCTGAATTTCTGCCTCACTTTTAGCTAGTCATACTGCATTTATTCAGCAACGGTGAAGTTTCAGATTTTGATGTTAGAAACAAGCTCTAAATGCATGTTTGCACAACAGGGCCACATGTTGAGTTGATAAAGGATCCCGATGGAGCCTACTCCCAACTTTTACGGCTGCAAGAGGTTAATACGAAAAGGGAGGGATCTCATGGAGATGACTCCAGCAGGTTACAATCAGCATCTGATGCTGCAAATTCTGCAAGTCAACATAGCAGTATAAAGCCATCCTTTGGGAGATCTATGAGTAGATATTCACCACAGGGTGGAAGCAGAATAAACTCGCAAACATTCTCATTGCATGAACATGAAACCGAAGGGGTTGATGATGCCAAGTCAGGGAAGAAAGTGATCAGACGCCTGCTCTACCTCCATAAGCCTGAGGTTCCAATCCTTCTGTTAGGATGCACTGCTGCTGCAGCCAATGGTGCTATACTTCCGGTGTTTGGCATGCTGCTTTCAAGTGCCATTAACACATTCTATGAACCGCCACAACAATTGCGAAAAGACTCTGTATTCTGGGCAGAGATGTATGTGATGTTGGGTGTCATCTCCATCTTTGTCATCCCATTGCAATACGCTTTGTTCAACATGGCAGGTGGTAAACTTATCGAGCGCATACGTGCGGTTTCATTTAGTCGGGTTGTTTACCAGGAAATAGGATGGTTCGATGACCCTCTGAACAGCAGGTACTTCTGTGTTCACTTATTCATCTGATACATCAATATTGTAGAATGCCATTATTTTTTTGTTTCCTGATTCTCAATCATTGTTCCAATTCTCTAGCGGCGCAATAGGCTCCAGACTATCAGGGGATGCGGCGTCTGTTAAAAGCATTGCTGGGGATGTCTTGTCATTGATAGTGCAAAGCATAAGCACTGCTGTTGTCGGTATCGTAATAGCCATGATTGCAAACTGGAAACTAGCATGCATTGTATTGTGCTTCCTTCCTTGCGTGATTGCACAGAGCTATGCTCAAACGAGGTTAATGAGGGGTTTTGGTGCTGATGCCAAGGTATATGGTCTATTATTCCTTTTTCATGGTGATCATATCATTGTGTAGTTATTAGCTGAAATTCTTTGTAATGTTTGCCTGCAGGAAATGTATGAACAAGCGAGCACAATTGCTACTGATGCCATCGGTAACATCAGAACTGTTGCTTCATTTTGTGCAGAAGAGAAGATAATTGAAAGCTACCGAAAGAAATGTGAAGGTCCTGTGAAACAAGGAGTTCGTCAGGGGGCTATAAGTGGCGTGGGTTATGGATTGTCATTCGCGTTGCTCTTCTGTTTTTATGCCATATCCTTTTACGTTGGAGCTCGCTTTGTACACAATGGGACTGCAGAAGTTGGGCAAGTCTTCAGGGTGAGAACCAAACAACTCATAGACTCGAATAATTGATCTGGGTCTTCTTCTCATTGCCGCTGCTTTTTCTTGAAAATGCAGGTCTTCTTCGCTTTAACCATGATGGCTGTTGGAGTTTCTCAGTCGAGTTCCCTTGCTCGGGATTTTGCCAAAGTGCAAAATGCAGCTGCCTCCATTCTCAAGATTATTGATAGGAAATCCAAGATTGATGCAAGCCATGAGGTAGGAACGACACTAGAGGCAGTGGAAGGCAATATAGAGTTGCAGCACGTGAGCTTCAAGTACCCTGCTCGGACAGACGTGCAAATCTTCAGAGATTTGTGCTTGAGGATACCATCTGGCAAGGTACATTTGGTTTTCGGTTTTCTCCCATTTTTTACAGTACTGTTGAAGTACTCTGCTGTATAGAAGAACTTGAACAGGATGAAAATAACTTGACTGGGGTAAAAACAAGCTAGCTCCGCCACTGATCTCATGCATTGTCATCCTGGTTGTTTGTTGCAGACTATTGCACTTGTCGGGGAAAGCGGAAGTGGGAAATCTACGGTGATAGCCTTGATCGAGAGGTTCTACGATCCTGACTCTGGCTGCATCTTTCTAGATGGGGTGGATCTGAAGAGCCTCAAGCTCACCTGGCTCAGGCAGCAGATTGGTCTGGTAGGCCAAGAGCCGGTCCTCTTCAATGACACCATCAGAGCAAACATCGCCTACGGCAAGATGGAGCAGGTATCCGAGGATGAGATCATTGCCGTTGCCAAGGCCGCCAACGCCGACAGGTTCATCTCCACCCTCCCAAACGGGTACGACACGAGCGTCGGCGAGCGCGGGGTGCAGATGTCGGGTGGTCAGAAGCAGCGGATAGCCATCGCCAGGGCGATCCTCAAGAACCCCAAGCTGCTGCTCCTGGACGAGGCGACCAGCGCGCTGGACGCGGAGTCGGAGCGCATCGTGCAGGAGGCCCTGGACAGGGTGACGGTCGGGAGAACAACCGTGGTCGTGGCTCACCGGCTGTCGACTATCACCGCCGCCGACAAGATTGCAGTGGTCAAGAACGGGGTGGTCGCCGAGGAAGGGCGGCATGAGCAGCTCCTTCGCCTGCCCGGTGGTGCCTACGCGTCCCTAGTTGCCTTGCAGTCTAGCAGTTCCTGAAGCGGATACACCAGCAACGCTGTGCTCTTGCTTCGTAGGATGACGAGCATTGAATAGTCTTTTGCAGATTTCAGTTGGTTTTTCATTTTTAGTGTATCCAAATGACCACGCTCTCAACGTAGCAACAACAGAAGTTCCACTCCTTCCCAAGGTGTAAAGGACAGATATTCTCCAGGGTTTTGGCCTTGTTTTCGTTTCTTCTCCTTCCTGTTTTTTTAATAGCTTTAAAAGCGTAAATGGAAACATGGTATGATGCACAGATTCGTGACTCATTTAGAAGTCCTTCATTCCGCTCTGGACGTTAAATTTTACACTTGCTTATTTCGTTCATTGGCTATATATTCGGAAATCTGCTGATAGTTTCATGTGGTACTTATAAACAGCAATTTTTTTTTTGCGAATGTACTCATAAACAACTTTGACCGATGAAACTTGTTAATGGTGTTGGTGGGTGGCATTATTGAAGAGGGAGTACCATGTTGTATGAACTTGATCATGGGAACAACCGCTCTGATATATGTGTATCTGTCACACTCCTATGGCAACCGTTGTGATGCATGGGTGACGGCGGCCAGTGTGGGTGGCCGCGTGCGTTTGTGGGTCTCCGGCGCCCAAATCTGGCATCGACGACTTAGGTGCTAGCCGCGAAGCGGCAGGGATGACCGGGAGACACCAAGAGGTGTGATGGTTGGTCGGCGGTGGTGCGTCTACGGCTTGAGACGGCCATGGTGTTGACGCCCTGTCTTAGTGACATGTCGTTATCGGTATCCGCCACAAGGTTTGTGGAGCACATGCGCCTAAGATGGCTTCTGACGACGTTCGACTCCTCGGCGTTTTGTAATAGTTTTGCGCTCACACACATAGATTTGGTCGTGTGGTGATATCCACACTGCGGATATGCACCGGAGAGTAGCTACCTTCGGATATGAATGCCATGGGAAGGACTAGATTTCAGTTTCCCGTGATCATGATGTGTGGTTGCCCTTTCATGTAGCTTCGTCTTCTTCGGCAAGGGGTGGTGGCAACACGCGGTTTCTTCGACTTAGTGGTGCTCATTGAGCATTGGGTCTCTAGCTTCGTAGTGTAGGTCTGATCTTTGATGGTGCATCTGACAATTGTGTTGTTTTATGCAGTGTGTTCTTATTGAATGCATTGCTTTGGAGCCTGCTCAGACGTACTCTCTAGGGTGAAAACCCAAGATTTGACCTGAAGTGTTTGGATCCCGCAATAAAGGCACTTGCACGTTGTTATCTTCTTGGAGACATTGTTTCAGAGAACCTTTCACATAGCTCATGTGTTGTAGAGGATTGTGGATGACGTTGTTGCTAGTATGTTGCAAGTTGTTGGCCATTGGACTTTGTCAAGGATTGTGGATGGCGTTGTTGCTAGTTGTTGGCCATGTGGACTTTGTTTCTTTTTTCCTTCTTCCTTTTATCCTTTTTGGTTGTCTGCATCCTTGAATTCTCCACTAGCTTTTGATGTTATGTCCTTGCATAGACTAGGTGTAATTGATATCATCTTGATACTAATATATTTTCTGTTGTCAAAATAATAATCATATTTCCAGGTAACATCACTCCCATGTGTGATATCACTAGTGGAGGACCCCAGTGGGCAAGGTCTGGTAGCCGCGCCGCCATACCTTGTTTTGGTGCAAAAATATTTTTATACCTACACACACTTCTCTCGGTTGGCCACGCTAAATCTCGTCGCTGGAAAAATCGCTAAAGGAAGACGTCGAACGCTGGATGGGCCAATCAGACATAGTTGAAAATTGGACCACATATAGACACGGCATCCGGAAGCAGTTGGTCCATATACATTTCACGGTGGCTAGCTCTCGCTCTCATTTGTCTCAAAAAAAAGCTCTTGCTCTCAATCTTCTAAAAAAAGCTCTAGCTCAACTCTCACTCTCAACGAACCGATCGAGAACCAGCTCCCCAACTCAGATAGAGACGCACATGTAGGCGGCACGCAACAACCCTAGCACGCGGCAGCGGCTGGCCAGGACGAGGCGGAGTGGCGGACGACGGCGGCTGTAGCATGTGGTGGGCGTCGAGCAAGTGGGGCGCAGGGCGCTCCTGCGCAAGGCGCAGTGGCGTACGGAGCGTCGAGACCTAGGTGCAGCGAGCGGCGGCTGCTTCGCATCCTTCACACCACGGCCAGCAGGGCGCAGTGTGGCCGCACATCTTTACCAGTTCGCCACACCTTAATTTTTTTTCATCCTCCGCCTCTGTGTGATATGGCATTGGATCGCACAGTTGTCGTGCTATTAAAGTCATCCAAAGTTGTCGCCTCTATCTCCATCTTTATATCTAGAATTTTCTTGAGACCTTAGGTGAAAAAGATGGAAGAATAGGCCTACATAAAGACAACCGACCTCATAGGTTTTGAAAAGCTGCATTACTCCTAAACCCTCATAGGTTAGAACCTAAGATCATTGAACACATTATGGTTGGGGACACATCGCTTCCAAGATAGGTTGCAAACAAAGACAAGATAACTAGGAACCAACCAAACTTATCCAACACCATCGTGACACGCTGAAGCACTGAAAGCCAACCCGTTGAATCTAAAGCCGATGACCCATAGGACAATAATGCCACATGTTATATCTTTTCCTCTAGCAGCTAACCAAACCCTCAAAGTTGCAGAAGACGGCGTTGAAGATGGGAGGAACCGAAAAGAACAATAATTGCAAAGAAACAAAGTTTTCCTTTGGCGGCTACATAGAGGCCTCCTATCAATTGCTCACTGTGGCAGATTGTTTTTAGTCAAACATGCAAAGCTCTATTAATTCAAATATAATGTTTACAAGAACTAAAACTGGATCATAGGGGAGGCCTAATGAAAAATGGTGACCCACCCCAAAGAAGGAGCATGCTTTGCGAGATTGTGAGCTTCGTAATTGAGGTAGCGCACAAGCAATGGCGCCGTGGGGCGGCCCACAGAGCAACACCTCTTGTATTGTTTTTTAGCTAAAATTTTGTTTCTCTTTTGGGTTTTCCGATTTTCCTTAGTTTGTTGTTGCTCATAATAAAACTAAATCTATACTTGTTAAAGAGAAGGTGAACCATTTTCCTAAAATAATAAATAAAAATTAAACATTACTGAAAGACAAATTTTATCAAAAATGTGCACCATTATTTAAAAAAAATTATATCTACTAAGTATACGCGAAGAATTCTAAATTTTAGATGAACATTTTAAAAAAATTGTTCCTTGTGTATTTGTAAAAATGTCCATCATGAAATTTGGGAACACTTTTTTCAAATCCGAGACAATTTTTCTAAAATTTGGGAACATTTTTTCTTAAATTCCGATTCTTTTTTTAATTTGTGAATGTATATTTTGAAATTTTAAAACCTTTTTGTAATCCTGAATTATTTGAACGTAGAATATAACAAAAATAAAAAATAAAAAAAGGAAAAGTAGAAAAAAAAGCGTCCTGCCCCGTGCATGGGCCAGCCCAACAGGGCATACGGTGGGGTGTAGAAGGTTCGTGTGTATAGGAGCCCCCGTGGGAATTTCCTATTCGCCGCTTATTGCGGCAAGTTGTCGCACCTTCGCACAGGGCGCAGCTCACCCTGGGCCGGCCCATTTTCGGTTATTTCCCTTCTCGAGAGATCAAAAACAGCAAAAACGCGAGATTAAAAATGTTTGCGCTAGGGATCGAACCCAGCACCAAATATAGATGTACAGGCGGCGCTAGCCACCACAACTGCTTCGTACAATGAAACAAACTACAACGCGAAACTTATATAAACACACATCAGCGACAAAACTAAAAACCAGTTCACGGAATTTCCAAAAAACTTTTGTTCCTTCTACTGTTTTTTTTTTTGGGGTTTCTTCGCTGTCTTTTTCTGTTCTTCCGTTTTCTTTATTTTTCTTTTCATTTTAAGTTAAAATATTGTTAATCATTTTCAATAAAAAACTTGTTTGTCAAAATTTGTTCATGTTTTTGAAATAGTGTTCACATTGCCAAATTTTTGTTCATAATTTCGAAAAATGTGCCTGATTTCACATTTTTTCTTACAACTCAAAAAGATGTTCAAACTTCCAAATTTTGTTCCATTTTCAAAAATTTATTCTCAATTTGCAAAATGTTTGTAATTTCGAAATTTGTTCATTGCTTCAAAAAATGTTCTTGGAGTTTTGTTCATGTTCTGAAAAATGTTCGAAATTTATAATTTTGTTCACATTTTCAAAAATTGTTCGCATTGTTAAAAATTGTTCTAAATTTCCAAAGAAAATCATGTAGAAAAATTTCTTGGAGTTTCAAATTTTTGTTCGCATTTTCAAAAAAATGTTCTCACTTTTAAATTTTGTTTGTGTTCTGAAAAAAGTTTACAATTATAGATTTTGTTCATTTTTTCTGAAAAATGTTCTGAATTTATAAATTTGTTCGTTTTTTCGAAATTTTCTGTTACAAATTTTTTCGTAATTTTGAAAAATGTTCGCGTTCGCAATTTTTGGATTTTCTATCAAACATTAAGTCTAATCGATGTCATTGTTGTTTCTTATATTCTCCCGCTGCAAGTTTAGCACTAAAACTAGTTTGGTGCAGTGGCTAGCATAGCGTGCGCTAGTCCACGAAGTCGTCGGTTCGAATCCCATACCTGCGTATTACTTTTCTCGCATTTTTTCATCTCGCGAATGGCCAAATGGGCCGGCCCAGTTTCGGCACGCCAGTGCGAAACGCCGACATTTCGATGCAATGAGCGTCACATAGGAGCTCTCGCCCCCGTGTTCATTAGTCATTATTGTGTGTTTTACGAACGGACGACTGAAAAGCCCCGCGCTAGGCTGGCCCATCTAACGTTTTTTTTAATCCCAAAAAGGGTGCTTGCGAAAGGGTTAGAACTCAGGATCCGTTCGAAGGCAACAATAGTAACCACTAGGCAGCTTCCCTGATTTGTGGAATTTGCTTTTTTCTTTCTTTTCTTACCTTCCTCGATTTTCCCAGTTTGTTGTTTAGTTTCCACACCTTTTATTTC